CTTGCCAGTCTGGATGCACCCATACAAAACAGGAAGTGACTGCCTAGGAAGGCTTGTTTAGTTTGGAAAAAAAAAGACTGAGGGGATAGCAGTTTTCAGGTAGCTAAAAGGGTGTTACAAGGCGGGAGAAAAAATTTTCTTGGCCTCTGAGGATAGGGCAAGAAGCAATGGGGCTTATCCGTGAGCGGGAGCGTCAAATTATTTGCCCAAGAAGCACTGATTTCTTACATTAGAACGTCAGTGATCTTGCGCAAATTCTCATGACCAGTGTAGACGGGCAGCAAGTTTTTGCGCAAAATCTTGCCAGTCTGGATGCACCCATACAAAACAGGAAGTGACTGCCTAGGAAGGCTTGTTTAGTTTGGAAAAAAAAAGACTGAGGGGATAGCAGTTTTCAGGTAGCTAAAAGGGTGTTACAAGGGGCTTCAGGCAGCACGTTGAGCTGCATGGGCATGAGGCTCCCAGCTGGGTTGGCGGGGCAATAAGCTGGGTAGCACAGGGCCCAAGGCAACCTCCTTGCTCACCTTGCCCAAGGGCTGGGCCTGAAGGTCCAGACCCATCCCAGTACTGGGGACAGTAGGTTAGAGTGGGGCATCTTAACTGCCTCCTCACTTCATCCATTTTGCTTTCCATAGCTCGCATCTGTGCCTCAGTTTCCTCCTATGAAACCACTTCCAGCCCTGCTCCCACCATGCCAGGCGCCCACACCCTCCCCTGTCACCTAGATCCAGCCCCTAACTCCTCATCCCACCCCCTGGAAAACCACAGCTCAGGCCTCAGTGACACCCCCCCCTCAAAATATCCTGCCCATGGCCCCAGGAGGCTGATGCACTAAAAATAGAATTCTGGATGTTGCCAAACAGGTGGAGGCACAGGCTAGCTGGCAGCATCCATCTGCCTGCTTGATCCCTGGGCCTAAACTCAGGTGGCTAGTGTGAGCCCCTCCCTGTGCCAAAAAGTCCACATGGGTATTTTTAGCATGCTGGTTTGTGCATAGCTAGTGTGATTTATAGCATGGACAGACAGATTCACATCTCTCACCTGGGATGTAGACAGACTCTCATTGGGTTAATCACAGTCTTGCAATAAATGAAACTGAACCAGGCATCTGAATTATAAAGGGCCAGTTAATACTGACAGGCTGAAGCATGCAGCCACTGCCCCAGATCGCTTTTTCCTCTTGCTATAGATTTGATCAATGGTTTTTTGTTTATTTGTTTGTTTTGCCCTACAAATGTAGTCTAAAAATTAGAGCAAGGGGTTTGTAGCCAGAAGCCCTCCACTCTACTCTCTGCATTGTTATTGACTCACTACATGAACCTGTGCAGGTTACTTATTCCTCTTTGTTCCTCAGTTTCCTGATTTGTAACATGGAAATATTTTAAGTACCTGTATTGCAGAGGAGCGGCAATGTTTAATGTTTGAAAAAATCACTCCAAGATCCTTAGATGAAAGATATTGTAGAAGACCAAATGATTAATGTTGCATTTGTCCCTGCTACTTACCATTTTACATGCCCCCCCAGCCTCAGTGTATTTTTTCTCTAGTAGTTTCATTCTACCTGCAGTCTTGTTCAGAATTCTGCCAGATCTGTCACTTCCACTCATTAAGCTGAAATATAGCTCCCAGTTTTGAGAACTCTGCACACATGAATAACTTATGAGCCACGTATGTACCTGCACTCTCTTCTGAAGTCAACAAGATTGCACAACTGAAACTGAGAAGAGAATTTGCTCAACTATGTATAAACATTTGTTACAATCCCACCATGAATTACTTGAGACATCCATTTTTCCTAAGCAGGAAAACCTGTTGCCTTTGCAAAGTAGGCAAAGTAAATTGTGCACAAGTTACCCCTCTGGAGCTCAGTTGCTTTCTTGGCTCTGTTTGGGTGCATCTACACTGAACCATAGGTCGAAATAAGATATGCAATTTGAGCTATGCAAATTGCATATCTTATTTCAATGTTCTTTTGAAATAACTTATTTCATCATTTGGTGCTGCCTACACAGCACTTATTTTGAAATAAATTGCTATTCCAAAAAGTTCCTTACTCCTCGTGGAAAGAGGTTTACAGGGATGTCAGAATAGTGAGCCTGTTATATTTTGAAATAATGGGCTTGCTGTTAAGACATGGGATAGCAATTTCGGGATACTGGAGGTATCCCGAAATAGCGCTGCAGTGTAGATGTAGCCTTTGTGTGCTTTTGTCTGCTTAAAAGAAAACACACAAAAGAGCAGAAGCTATTGTATGGCCTGCTGGGGTCATCTACATGGTGGGGTCATCAACATTCAGGAGTCCCGTGTAGGAGCAAGTCTGGGTCACGGTGCACAGCTCATATGATATTTGTTTCAGGGGGAAGAAGGTAAGGATAAAAGAGTTTTTTGCACTACTTTTTGGTGACCCCGTTCTCCCCCCCGACTAACCTAAGGGGGTATGTCTACATTAGCCTCCCTATTCCGAAATAGGGGGCTAGTGTAGACATACCCAGAGAGTCTCTCCCATGTAGAGACGCCAGAGTGGTTCCCACCAACCTTGCTAGGACTCAGAGCCTTGTCCCAGACAGCGCCCCACCGTCTTGTGATAGAAGGTGAGACTTGGCCCCTCCTCCCCCCAGGGAGTGCTACTCCTGGGGCAGGCTGTGTGCAGGGCAAGGTCTGTCCCAGGTTTCTCCCCCCAGGGCTGGGCTGTGAGTCCCTGCCTTTGACTCTGTCAGCCCCCAGCATTTGCAGGGAGTGGAAGCCCGGGGGTGGAACAGCAACATGTGGGGGAGCTGGCAGGGGGCTCAGAGGGCCGTGAGGGAGGAAGAGCAGAGGGGGAGGGGGGAACAGGATTGCAGGGGGCCCCGGCCCAGGAGCAGCTGTACCGCGTCTCCGGCTCCTGCAGCTGCCCACCAAGCAGCCCGCCCTGGGAACAGCGGGGCAGCCGCCACATGGGTCTGGCTGCAGCTCCAGCCCTGGGGCAGAAGTCCTGGCCCACTCCACTTCTGGATGGAAAGTCTTAGAGGAAACCCTGCCCTGGACCTGGAGTTGAGGGTGGGTATGGGGGCCAGGATGAAACCCTCTGATCCAGAGATAGGGTGGTCCAGCCAGCCAAATGTAAGGTGGAGAACATCCAGCTATCAGAATCGGCTTCCCCTCCGAGCTTGCAGAACTGCGCAGCTAAAACTGTTAGAAGCCAAATCTGACTGGCAAGCTTGTGTGTCAGAAACTGCTATGGGGAGCCAATTGTGACAGCAGCTGTTTGTGATGTCACACCAGCCCCACCCCAGGACTGTGGAATCGTTGAATAGCCGGTGAGAATTCACGAGTCCATCAACTGCTCCATGAACCGACATTGAACATCCCTGCCTCAGCACCGCCCCAAGCACTCGCCCCTCCCTTTCCGGGATCTGGCACCTGCCCCCACCCCCTCCTGGTCCCGAGTGGGACCCAGGCTGCGCTTCAGCCCCGCGGGCAACACCCGCTCCCCCAGGCCGCCCCTGCCCAGCCACGGCTGCACCCCCAGAGGTGTGCCGTGGCCGAGCACTCCTGCCGGGCTCCAGCCAAGCAGGCATTGGGGTGGGAGGGAGGACAGAGTGAGACGCAGTGGCCTGTGGGAGATGGAGGCCGGGGCAACTACATCTCCAGCAGCCACGGTGGGGTCAGCATCACGTGAGAGGGACACGGCGACCAGTGCGGGGTGCAGTGCTTCCTGATTGGGTGTGGGAGGCTTTGGGTAAAGTGCCATTTGGTAAGCAAGGTGGAAATGGAAGTGGGTGCAAGAGGAAGTGGCGGTGCTGTGCCGGATGCTTCCTGGGAGTTGTAGTTTCCTAGGAATGTGCTACCTTCGCCAGTGAGTTTCTCCCTGGCAAGTCCTGGACAGAGCCCACCTTGTGGCATCCTGGGCCCCTCAGTGCCCCTTTCCCCCGTCTGCCACTGACCCAAAGGCAGCACGCAGGGTGGGGGCACACAGTGATGCAGGAACTGACAGCCAGGTTTGTCCATGAGTCGTGTCATCGGTTCCTCCCCCCACCGCCTCCTTAGCCGGGGGCTGCTGGGACGTAACTGGTACACGTGGCACCCTTGTGCCCCGCGACCAAGGAGCCACTGTCTCTTTCCTCTCCCCCCGAGCATCTCCCCATTTCCTGGCTGAAGAATTCAGTAGAACAAGAGGGTGGAGATGGTCCACTCCTGGCCATGTGTAGTGGCCACAATACAGTGTGGGAATGAAGTCAGATCCCAAGGTCCTTGCTCAAGACAAGGATCCATTTACCTACGGAGTGAAAATCCTGCAAGGGCCTCGTGGTTTCACCCACAGTCTTTTAGGAGAGAGCTGGAGAGGATTTAACTTGCTGCCACTGCAGTGCAACAGTGTGGGTTTGCTTTCCTAAGCATTTGACTAATGAAAATAGGAAACACATGCCCAGTGCCGAACATAGTGACTGTACAGTGATTACTAATTTAGTTTCCTTACTTAGCGCTGAAATTGGATAGATTCTTGTACCACCATCAGGTGAAGTATGAGAACTGTCTAGTTCCGGCTCTGCCGACAGCGGGGAGCTACAGGATCTGCCGAAAAAGCTCCCCGCTGTTGGCAGAGCCGCGGCTAGACTTTACTTTCACTTTCGAAAGGGCACGTGATTGGCACAGCGCCCGAACGTGAGCATGCAAATGAAGCCTGGGATATTTAAATCCCGGACTCATTGGCACTTTCGACGTGTCTAATCTACATCCCTCTGTCGGCAGAGCAGTGTAGTTATAGACACACTGTCAGAGTGGTGTCCCATGAAGTCTACACAAACAGCTATGTGTGAGAACGGCACCAATGACCATAACCCAATAGTGATGCTCCCAAAGGCAGTGTGAATTTGGAGAGTATGCGCTGTACTCCTTGTGTGCTGTGCTACACCTCAGAATGTCTATTACAAAGCAAGTCAGGCTTGTACACGTTCAAACTGCACTATACACACCTTGGTTTTTCGGAGGAAAAATAATTCTAACAGTAGTGGCTTGTGAGGTTTTTTTAGTGTTAAAACACTGTTTTTTATTTTGTACAGTTTTCTCAGAGGAAAACAATAATTGATAAAACAGGAAAAAGATTATAAAGATGAGACTGAAACTGAACCCTGAGGCTGATTCTGAAAGATGAGTGATATTTTTTTTTTGGTACTTCAGTTCTGCATTTCTTATTCTGACATGGTTATATTTTCTACTTTAAGACTGCTTTACTAGTGTACAGTATTACTTGATCTGGAAACCTATACTGATCCCCTTGGGATCAAATCTAGCCCAAAGACAGATGGGAACAATAACGCTTGAGCGGAAGCTAGATAAATGCAGTTCTCAACATGGTCTCTTTTATTCTGAGCACCAAAAAGTAATAGTATATTTTAGTAAGTAACATTTTTAAACACCTTTTGCAGGAAAATGCAAAGCATATGTTCAAACTCAGCTTTATTTTCAGAAAATAGAGGTCTGTAACTCTTCCTTAAACATGCCTTCAAAGTGGAGATCTTTGGCCATGAGCTCTTCTTCCACATCCTCTAATGCCCACTGATGATCAGTCAATTCTAACGCTTCCCATTCCGTCTACAAGGAGGATAAATAGAAAGGGGGAAGAAAGAGCAGCCTGAGAATTAAAACAGTTCTCTTGTCACTTCTTGTGCATATTCTCTTGAAGGATGGTGCAATGCTCGTTTATTTGAACAGGGATCCTTCCTGTCAATTGCCTCAAAACAAATACATTCTGTTTAAATGACGCTCGTGGAGTCTGCTCTTCCAGACGAGCATGTCTGAAAGTTGGTTAATGAACACATTTTAGAGCTGTAAGGCTTTTTCACGCTTACAAAGAATCTGAAAAATGAGTAAAAGCCTCCACCTTTTGGAGGGGTATTCTCCCTCTGAAATCTGTGACTACAAATGCCACATTCACTGGATTTGTTTGTCCCCAGAGGGAGTAGTGATTCTTGGCAACTGGATAACTTACTGTGGAGACGTGATTATCTGTACTGCCAAGAATTCTGCAGGCCTCATGGCAGCATTGATCACGCCCCCAGGGATTGGGGCTTATCACCTCCGCATGTGCCAAGAGGCTCTGGGGCTTACACATTCTGTGGGACTGGAGTAGGCTGCCACGCCTGAGCCCCTTGCAGCACTCCCCGGTCAGCAATTCCAGGGCTGCAGATGGCCCTTGTGGAATTTCTGCATAGCCTTCCATGCAGCCCATTTCCCCTCACTGAAGCTGAGGCAGAAGTCTCCGAGTCCTGTGCCATGAGCAGCATCAGCACACATGAGACGGAATTTCTGCATAGCCTTCCGTGCAGCCCATTTCCCCTCACAAGCTGAGGCAGAAGTCGCTGAGTCCTGCGCCATGAGCAGCATCAGCACACATGAGAACACCGGAGAGGCTTGCCACTGAGCTGGGCTGGAGGATAATGACATTTCTCTTTTCTGGGAACACATAAAATATCACCGGGAACAAACATACATGCCAGAAGGCTTATCTGCCCTTTACAGGAAGGTATGTTCTAGGGGCTGGACTATCACCGCTGTGCATACAGTAGTGCCCAGCACTTTTGTAAGGAGCAGCTAGCATCCAGCCTGCCTCCGGGCGAGGGTGGTTTGCCTTCTCCAAAGGAGGCAGTGTTGCTCACTGAGCAGTGCTCCGGCCTTCGCCGCCTGAAGAGGAAGGGTCTCTGCTGCACGAGAATGTGCTGCTGATGAACGGCCACAATTCTGATTGGGAGGACAGCGTCACGGTTTCATTCTGCATCTCTCGAAGCAATGGGGCCACTCTTAGCAGCAAGAGGCACCTGGCCTGAGATTGGGCAAACAATGTAGCGTGAGAGCACCAGGCAGGATGAGGTGGCTGCTATCCAAGCTGAGTGTGTCTCATTTTTTATAATGGAGATTGCCTATCTCCTAGAACTGGAAGGGACCTTGAAAGGTCATTGAGTCCAGTCCCCTGCCTTCACAGCAGGACCAAGCACCATCCCTGATGAATTTTTGCCCCAAATCCCTAAATGGCCTCTGCAAGGATTGAACCACAACCCTGGGTTTAGCAGGCCAATGCTCAAACCACTGAGCTATCCCTCCCCCCAATTCCCTTCCTGACGGCAGTATAGCTTCTCAAGGACTGTGACAAGGGGAATTAAACTGACTTCCCCTCTTCCCTTTAACAGGTGCTGAGGGACTAAAACAGGGTTTTCCAGGGTCAGGGGAATCCGAGAACCCACGGCTAGGGAATCTTATGTTTGCTTTGCTAGTGCTAACGTGCCTTGATTTGTACAGGAAAAGATTTTCTTCAGCTGAGAAAAATCCTTGCAGATGAATATTGTCCTTTTTCTGCTGAGTCACTTTCCCAGTTACAAATACCGTATGTCACCCATAGCTGGCCTGGGAAAATGCCCTGAATCTATTGTTCTGACTCCTGCTATTATGCTCAATTTGAAACAGGCTGTCTGGGAGATTAACAGGCACTGCAAAGGAGAGGTGTTCTGGGGATCACCCATCAATGACCTGTGGCTCACCGCTGGTTGTCATTTGGCTAGTCCTTCCACCATTTGGGCCTCTGGCTACAAGGTGACTTTAGGAAACTCACTGCATCAACCCATTTTCAGGGGCAGATCTTCAGCCTGTCTAACTCCCTTTACACACAGCAGTGTGAGACTGCTCTGGCTGCGGTTAGTGGGAAGAGGTAGGACCAGAACAGAGGCAGTTAATACGTTTCCATTAACCAGAAGGGGAAGTCTCAGTGTGAGAGCGGGTACGGAGGCTGCTAACCATTAACCAGAAGGGGAAGTCCCAGTGTGAGAGCGGGTACGGAGGCTGCTTGATTCCATCAGATTACCTTCTGTAATCAAGCAGGCAGAGGTCGGGCAGCACTTCCAAGCACTTTTCTGGTTCCCTAGGCTCAGGCTTCCAGTACTTATGCTTTCCTCCTCTCCCTCAGTCCTTCATGCAGCAAGATGAAGCACAAATATTTCACTGAGGCTCAAACTCTATTAATCTAATGCTCAGGCGTGAGACTGTTCTGTTCCTGTCCGTCATGCCCAATCTTTCCTCTTGCAGTGACAGATAAGCCTCACGGCGAACAGCACTTCCCTACTTTCAACAACTGGCATTACGGGAATCCCAACTCTGGGTTTTCCAGATGACATGTCAGGCACTGATGAAATCCTACAAGACATTTACAGCAAGCTCTTGGAATGATCCATTCAGGAGTCCGGCTAACCCTGATCTTCCTTACAAGTTCACCTAGCTGTTGTTTCTGCTTGTTAATTTTGCTCATCAGCAAATAAGCTTTTCAATTTGGGAGGACACTCCTGCCCACTTTAACCCTCCAGCATGGGCTTCACTAGCTTTGTTGGACTGATATTGGAGTCTCACTAAACTCACAACTTCTGTCTGAGGGTTCTTTATGCTTTCTGTCCTGCCGATACCTTCCTGATTGTGCTCTCCTCTGCCAGGCAGGTGAGGTTTCTCCAACCTTTTGTATCGACTTTCTCTGACCACTTTGGTGGCTTTCATAAGGATGAAGTCAAGCTTTCATCTCACCCCCAAAATTGCCAAAAGGTGGGCAAACTTTCCTCTGAGATGGTCCCCTCTGCTGATTTCTTTCCCAAGGTCCCTCACAGACCTGCTCCATGAGCTGGGCTTGTGTTCAGTTTCACCGTTATCTGGACCCAGCCACCTCTTTTGTGAAGTCATTTGGGTTATTTGCTGCCCTTGGAGGAAGATCCAAAGAGGAAAATAAATGAAGAGTTTGTCCAAATGGATCTTTTCTTGTATTCAGACATGCCTGAGAATAACTAGGCTTACTTCAGATGGCCAGAAAGCTCATTCCTCCGCACGAAGGAAGCTTCTACTTTCTGTGTTAGTCATCTGCTAGCTCAGATCTGTGGAACAAGTGCTTGGATCTCATCATGCAGAACTACTCTCTCAAGGCTAGTCAGATACTCACTTTTGAAAAGTACTGTTCAGTAGCTCTTCTTCATTAGCACTCCCAGCATTTCCTCGTCAGGTGGATTCTTTTGTGCTTTTAATACACGAACAGGAAAAATATGGAGGCTATTTCATGAGAGAGATAGCTCGGCTACTTATTAGAATTCTACCTTCCCAGATTCCCTCGTTGCCCCTCTTTCTTCACTCATTCAGAGGACCTTTGTTCTCCACTATCAGAATTCTACCTTCCCGGATTCCCTCGTTGCCCCTCTTTCCTCACTCATTCAGAGGACCTTTGTTCTCCAGGCAGTAAAGGAAGGGGGCTGTAGGCACGGCACAAGCTTGTAAGAGCACAAAGGTGAAGCTGGGAATGTAAGCAATACTGTACCTTAAAGGCTTTGTTCGTATCTGCAGGCATGGCCATTGCTGCACCTGTCATCTGTTCCTGCATCACCCTAGATTGGTCTGCAGCTGCAAGAGAGAAACAAGGGGGGGCATTTACTTACACTACAGGGAGAGAGAGCTCATGAAAGCACCGTACCACCAGAGGAGTCCTGGATCTTAACTATAGACTAGAGCTGCAGGCACCCACACACCATGATCATGCTATGCTGACCCTGCAGGACAACAGTAGCAGCTCAGAAGGCAAAATGGAAAGGAACATTTCTCATCTGCTAATTACTTCCTCAGCCATGCTCCCCACCAGTGCAGACGTGGGAGTAACTGTACTCCATGTGCACGTTAACATTGTGTGTCTGCTGACACACTGTGCCATCCCCAACTGAAGGGCTTCACAGATAGACAGCCTCTACCAGTGCAGGATCTGTTTAGCATTCCCACTGACCATCTGACTAGGCAAAACAAACTGGCAAAGCTACACAGATCTCCAACCGGAAACATTCCATGGCAACGAAAGCTAAAATGGCTAATGACCAGAATCCATGAAGAAAAATCAAAATTCAGCTTGGACAGATGAACTGCCAGTAGCAAAAGGCTTCAGTAACCCACCTGCCCCATGGTGGTGGTTCTGCCCTGTTTTCCCACCAAATATTTACTTTCCTGGCTGTAAAAACCTGGCACGACTTAAGTGGAGGGAACCTTGCTAATGCAAGGGAGGGAGTCTCTGCGAGTCTGCTCTTGCAGAAGTTTATAAACCAGAAGCAGCAGCATAGTGACAAAGGAGCTGTCTGAGCGTGACCCAGTGGAGCAGCAGTCATTTTGCTTTGGAAGAACTCTGCTCTTACAGCCTCTTGGAAAGTGATGTGGGTTACCAGCTGTGGTTTGGGGGTGACCACTGGACAGCAGCTGAAAGCCATCTTAATGTCAAGAGGCTGTTATCAAGCTGCCTTTAGATGCTTAATAGCATACATGGGCACTTTTCCTAGACAATATGATGCCTGTCTGCTGGGCTGGGGAATCTGGCATTTCACGCCTACCTGGAACACCATTCCTTTGAGCACTGTGCCCAGGATGCCAGCTGTACTGTTTACACCAGTGGAAAAACTAGTGTCTAGCTCAGAGAAATGAATTTCTGACTCGGGCACAAAGGTAAGGGATTCAATGTGCAGTTGCACCTGAAGCACCAGAGCTGGCAGATGCCTCAGCCACTCACCCAGATAGGGCAGCCACTGCTAGCTTGTCTCCCTGAGAGCGGCAGCATTCACATCCTCCTTGTGAAGAGCTCGAGGGCAGTTACCAGCCAGAATGGCAGGGAGCAGTTCTGGAAGAACAGCCCTCCAGTGATCTTGAGGCCTGCTGCCAGCAGCTCAGGGGAACTCCAGGACTGAATGGGATGACTGGAAAGGCAGTTTTGCTCTGTTTCTTTGAACAGGGGATTTTCAGAGAGTTGTGTGGCGGCCCCTCTCTAGCTCTCAAATACAATCTCTCCTAGGGATGTAACTTCACATGCAACGGAGAAAACTGTCAACAGCAACCAAATGAGCTTCCTGTGGCCACTAAGCCACGTTCCCCGAGTCAGCTCGTAATGCTTCTTCATCATCCTGCTAGGGATTTCACAGCAGGGCTTCCCAACATGAGTTAATGATTTTTACACAGGAAACTGGGAGATTTTCTCTCAGCATCATCCTAAACATGGACGCGACAATCCCTGAAAGTGAAGAGCCATGGAGACTGATGTCTACAGAAGGCCAGATTGGGCCAACTTACTCCCCAGTGTCCCAGTCCAAGGCCTGAAACAATGCTTTCTTAGGACGCTGGTTGCATATTCCACTTTAGAAGCACCGACCAGCCTGCCATTAGCAGCCACCGCTGCAGCCAGTACCGCAGCCTTACTGCTTTGATGTAAACTTCAGTTTTGCTGCTGTCCCCACACTTGCAGTGGAGCAGAGATTCTGATTTGAAGGCACAGGAGGGAGGGAGCCTCCAAGAGTTCTGGAGTTATTGCTAGGTGGTTTGGAATATGGAGCCCAAACCAAACACCTGCTTCCCACCCTTTCTCTGAGGTGGCTGAGAGCTACTGGCGTGGGCAGCAGTGGCAGAATCCGTTGTTCTCTCCCCTCTGAGGGGGGGCTGATGGACTTTTAAAGAGGAGCAGTGCAGGGAGATGTGAACCCCTAGTCCCCCAGCTGTCCCATTGCCCCACACCTTGCAGCAGAGAGTAGTTAAGTCTTCACGCTTTTCTTTCACGCTAAGACTCCAAGCAGGATGGCTACATCTAGACCGGCATGATTTTCCGGAAATGCTTTTAATGGAAAAGTTTTCCGTTAAAAGCATTTTCGGAAAAGAGTGTCTAGATTGGCAGGATGCTTTTCCACAAAAGCACTTTTTGCGGAAAAGTGTCCGTGCCAATCTAGACGCGCTTTTCCGCAAAAAAGCCCCGATCGCCATTTTCGCCATCGGAGCTTTTTTGCGGAAAACAAAGCTGAGCTGTCTACACTGGCCCTTTTGCGCAAAAGGACTTTTGCCTGAATGGGAGCAGCACAGTATTTCCGCAAGAACACTGACAATCTTACATGAGATCGTCAGTGCTTTTGTGGAAATTCAAGCGGCCAGTGTAGACAGCTGGCAAGTTTTTCCGGAAAAGCAGCTGATTTTCCGGAAAAATTAGCCAGTCTAGAGAGAGCCATTTAGAGAGAGTGCTCTCCACCTGCCTGAGGCGAAAGAAGGAAAAGTCGAAGCTGTGAACTGTGGAAGGTTATTAACAGTCACTGAATGGGCAATAGAACAGATTTCCAAAGCCAGTCCTAGCATCATCCACACAGAGAGCACATTGGTAGGACTGAATAACCTTACATAATGCCAAAGGGTCTGGTTCAACAACCCATAGCTTTCCAGCCCTGCTGGGAGCCTCGTTAGTATTTGCTCAGATTAACTCTCCAACACAAGCAGACTCCAATTAAATTAACAGAAACAACAGGGTCTTACCATTATCTTGACCCAGGATGAGTGTGTAAATGCTTCTCAGACCAAACACATTCAGGAAGTACCATGAAGCAGAACTCACCCTGCCAAAGTATAACAAAAGGGTTAGATTTCCGCTCAGCGAGGGACTGATTTCTGACCTCACTTGAGCTGTGCTTGCAGGGCCAGTCTGGGGGCTCTCTTTCAGTCTAAGCTTTTCCTAGCAAAAGCCCCTTGCCCCCAGCCCAGGATACACTGGTTCCAAAACAAAGCTCTTACCAGGATGCATCCAAAGTGAGCAGCTCAATTCCCTGCTGCAGCATTGGTTTAAAGCGCAGCGTCAGAGGAAACGGCACTTTTGCTGCAAGGAAGACAAACAAGATTCTCTCACAAACAATGGTAAGCAACCACAGAGCCAGTCATTTTTCAGCTGCACAGCTGGGCATGGTTAGTACATACCAAGGAGAGGTACACAAGGCTCACTTGTTTAACTCCCAATAAAGGTCAAATGTTAAAGGGTTTTTGAAAAGAGATCAAATCATCACTATTCACTCCGCCATGGTGGATGGGAACCATACGTAATGAGCCATCTCTCAGACAGCGGGAGTAAACCCAATGCCACACTGAAGGACAACGTATACATTTAGACCCCAGCATCAGTTACTTAATGTGATCTGACTCCTGTTCACATGTGGAAGAAACCTACCCCACCAACTTCAAATCTAGGGAATAAAAAAGTTCCAAGCAGTTTCTGGTGCCACACCTATTTCCAAGCGCACCTACCAGTGTCTGTTTCATGGTCACACTTCGCTGGTTTTAAAACGTGTTTCTCACTCCACTGTCACTGAGCGAAGGAGCCTTTGCATCAAACGGAGAGCACCTCTGCCAGAAATACTCAGCATCTTCAGATCCCTACTAGATGCCTGCTTAATCACAACAGTGCCAACGTTGCTCTTTTTTGAACCCCGCTATAATCTTGGCCCTGCCAACATCTTCTGGCAAAGTGTTCTACAGGTTGACTGCACTGTGTGAAGAAATACTACCTTTGTTTATTTTAAACCTGCTGTTAGTTTTATTTGGTGACCCCTAGTTCTTAACATTATCAGAGTAAATAACTCTTTCTTCGTTACTTTTGTAACACCAGAGAGATTATCATATTCTCCCGAGTCACCTCTTTTCCAAGATGAAAACTTATTGCAAAAGGAGTAACAGTAGTTCAAATTAGGAGCTTTAATTCAAACTACCAAGTCCGTGCCGTATGTAGCCACGGGAAAGTAGTTCGAACTACAGGGCATTTAAAAATGGTGGCACCCGGGAACATGCAAATAAAGCCCAGGATACTAAATTCATTTGCAAGTTCGAATGACTACATTAGCCACCCTAGTTCGAACGAGGGTGGCAGTGTAGACATACCCCCAGTCTTTTTAATCTCTCCTCATATGGAAGCTGTTCCAAACCCTCATCATTTCTGTTGCCCTTTTCTGTACCTTTTCTCTTTCCAATCGATCTTTTCTGAGATGGGGCAACCACATCTGCATTGAAGGATTCAAGGTGTGGGCGCGCCATGGATTTATGGAGACAATATTTTCTCTCATTATCTGTTACTTTCTTAATTCCTAACATTTGCTTTAATTTTCTGATTGCCATTTCCAGAGAACTAGCCATAGATCACCGATATCTTTTTCTTGAGTGATAACAGCTAAGTTAGATCCCATTGTTTTGTGTGTAGTTGTGATTAATGGTAGATGTGGAGATTCTGCATACCCTTATTTGATCTGCTGTGCCTCTTCAAACCCAGGATTACACTCACTTCATCCCACTCACTCAGTCCATGTGTAGGTGGAGGTAGCAAGGCTTGGAGGGTCCTACTGCCTGCAGCCAATCATTGCACATTGCTCTGTGCACGCTCTCATTTCGGACACTTACTTGTTACAAATCCCGAGAAGGTCATGTTGATCCAACCGCCGATGAGGATCATGGGTAGAACATTAGTTACATTCCCTTTCATCATATCTGTCAGCATAGTAGGATCTACCAAGTACAGGTTAAAGCACATTAAGCATTGACTCCACTCTGCCTTCCCATGTTTCATCACATCCTGCTTTTCTGACAGTAGTTACAAGAAATGTAAGAGGTCCAGTAACTTGACTGAAAAAGGGGCTGTATCAATAAGGAGTGAAGGAGAGGTTAATCGTGACCATGCCCCCATCTATGTCTTATAGCACTTTTCACTGTCAGTCTCCAAGTGTTTTACAAAGGAGGTGAACAGCACACATGGTTAATGAAGTGGTGTCACTTCAACTATGCAATCCCTTACACAGACCTGAAGTGGGAGCATCCAGCAAAAAGCCCAGGTTCTGAATTCACAGAACTGACGAGAAGTTTGTGTCCTATGAGTTTCTTAGGCCAGAACTTTACCTACACCTCTATGATGTTTCCCCTGAAAAATGTCAGGTTGGCTAAGAAGTCAGAAAAGCATTTTTCCGCTGCTGGATGCTGGAGTTAGCTCCTTGTTGCACCCTAACCCTGAAGGGCTACTCGAGTGACCAAACTGAAATTAGCGTTTCCTTTCTCTTGCACCCCACCTCCCCAAGCCTTGTGGAAGCTGGTGCTGAATGCTAGCCTGGGCTGACATCACAAGCTATCCCAAAAGGGGAAGGGTGGCAAAAGTGTACAACCTATAAGCATGCTATACACAATTATTGTGCAAAGAAAGCAGAGGACAGAGGCAAAGAAATGGTGAGAGCTGGGTTTGTAAGGCTACAACCTTGTCTATACATGGAGTTCAAAAGTGTTAATTTTAAGCCAGATGCGTTTAACTGGTGCAAACATGTAGGCGGACAGGGATTTAAATGTATCTTAAGTCAATGAGGAACAGGTTTATGCTATGCTGAAATAAGAGTGGCCATACAGGAATGCAAATGAAGCAAATTTGTGTGTAGACAAGGCCTCAAAGGACCGGTGAGTAAGGACTGCAGGGGTTCTGCTGAGGGTGCAAAAGGGTTCTGTTAAGAGACCACACCCCTTTTAAGATAACAGAGCTGACAATACATAGATCTGAAAGCTTGTTTTTACTGGCCATTCGATGGGACAAGATTACCTTCCCTTTGGGCCACTTTTTTTGAGGGGCATTTGACAATACAGTCTGAGTGTAGGGTAGCAGGAAGCATATAAAAGCTGTCCCCACTAAATATGGGGTTCCAGAGATTTGTCATCCCATAGCTGGGCCTTTTTCTAACCCTGCAAGATGCTCTGAATGTAGTAGATGAGGAAAGGATAGCAGATAGTCATTTCCACATCTGTGTCTTGAGTGGGGGACATATGCCTCCTGCTCTCTCTCTCACCCCCATTCCTCCCACCTGTCTCTTTTCCTATTAGAAATTGGACTTCAGTTTGGTTTTCACTTAGAAGTTATGTCAGCATATCACAATCACCGAGGGGTGGAAATCCAGCCCTCCCTTCAAACTAACGTAGGTATGCTGCCAAAACCTTCAGCTGTCGACGTAGCGATCGCTGTTTGGGGATGTGCTCTTGCTGGTGTAGGTTGTCTCTACGTTATAGCAGTTTTAGAGTAGGCCTTATTGAAAAGGTTTTGTAGTGCAGACGTACCCTCAGCCTGGTAGGATAGTTTTAATCTTGAAACACTTTGCTGTGACCTACTTAATAAGCCAATAATGATTACCAAGTGTCAGAGCACCGTTTAGCCAGAAAGATTTTTCTCTCACTAGCAAAAGTGGGTCCAATAAAAACTATGACCTCACCCACCATCTGTCTCTATTTTTGTAGGCCCAACATGTTGGCAACAGCACATGTTTCCAGAGACATTCAGCAGGTTTGTCAGGGCAGATTAGACGTGATTATTCTAAGGTTAAAAATACACAGGGGGCAAACCCCCAAATACTTATTCCTTATTCATTTTAAGCAACAAAGAGCAGGCGGCCATGTTTTTTTTTAAAAATGTTGCAGTTCCCCATTAAAAATGGTAACACTAAAGAGTCTACTGATCTTCATGGCTTCACTTCAGCAAGGAAGACATAAGTGAGGGGAACAGAGGTCAGCAAGAGACAAGGCACATCAAATACCAGCACTTATGAGCCCACAGAACCTAGCCAAATGATCACTTGATTATTATTCTGATTATTTTATTCTTCCCCTTAAAATACAAAAAGCACAGTGCGTTACAAGAGAGCTAGAACCTTGTCAGGAAAGCCACCTGCTCTCCTAGCATGCTTTTTGCAATGATCTCTACACATACCTGTCATTGGAGAAGGGGGCACTACCTTCCTTTTTGTTTTTTTAAAAAATCCATCCTCTGGGTTATTGAAGAAATACTTCCGTGTCAGGAAAGACTGAAAACAAAAGGAACAGCAAATTCTAACTGGGCTGGGAATCAGACTGGTGGAACTGAACACACAAACAACAGACTTCCTTTCCAGTGTTCAGGATGCATGCCTTTTACATGTCTCCTCCTTTCTCTCCTGCACAGATATCCACTAACATCACTTGGAGTCTTGCTCTGCCTTCCAGGTCTCATGGACATTAAGGCTGGAAAGGGCCATTCTGATCATCTAGTATGACTTTCTACACACTGCAGACCTCAGAACCTTGTCCCCCTATCCTCTGGTGAGCTAATGAAGCCTCCAAATCATGATTTAGAGATTTCAAGTTATAGAGAATCCACCACTTACATTATTTTAAACCTGCAAGTGATCTGTGGGCTGTGCTGCAGAGGAAAGCGAAAATCACAGTGATCCTTGCCAGTGCTTCTCAACCACAGATATAGTGATCAACTGGGCCATGAGCATTTCAGCAAGACCCACTGGGCAGACACCTAGGCAAGAATCCTCTACAGTAACTCAGAGGCCTCCCCATCTAGTATCCCATTGCTGGCCAGTGGGAATATTTGCTACTAGCAGTCGCAGATTGGCTGTGTGTCATTGCAGGCAGTTTCATCAGACCATCCCCTCTGTAAGCTTATCAAGTTCAGCCTTGCAGTCAGTTAGGGGTTTTCTTTGGATCCTGGCCATTTCAATAACTGACTTATTTGGCCTGAGCTTCTGACTTCAGTGTCCCCCAGTTTAGTGTCTATCTCTGAAATTCTCTCATCTCAAACATAATTAACTATTTCATGCACAGAAGTCATTTGCTCCCAAGGAGATTACACCTTTCTGCTTGTCTTTTTTTCTTCAAGATGGCTTCCCGACATTCTTGGAAGCCGAGAACAAAATATTTATATTTTGAAAGCAATTAAATCAATGCAGATGGTAGATATTTCTTTCCAATTGGTAGAGCTATCACCCCATGTGCTGTGACCTGCTACAGTATTGCACATTCTTGCTTTAAATGTGTCATAAGAACATAAGAATGACCATATTGGGTCAGGCCAAAGGTCCATCTAGCCAAATACAGGCAGTCCCCGAGTTACACGGATCCGACATACGTCAGATCTGCAGTTACGAACGGGGATTTTCTCGCCCCGGACGACGGGAGCGGCGGGACGCCCGGTCCCACCGCCCACGTCCTCCGGGGTGAGAAAAGCTGCTTTGCGTCTCCCTGGTCTGCTGGGGGGAGGGGGAAGAGGAGCCAGCAGACCAGGGAGACGCTGAGCAAAGCGGAGGAGGACCCGGGCGGGATCGCGGCGCTTCCAGATCAGTGCTGCGGTCCTGCCCG